GTGCGGGCTGGGGGCGGCGGCGGCACTCTGCGGGTGGCGGGCGAGCTGCTGGCTGGCCGGCGGCGCGTCTCGACTCAAATTATGGGCCGCCTCTCGGCCGTGTGGCGCGAGGAGAGGGCGGCGCGCTCGGCGCGCTGGCGGCGGTGAAGCCTCTCAGAGTGGGCGCTGGCTGGCCAAGGGCGTCGGGCGGGTGCGGGGCGGCACTCGGGTCGCCGGGACGGGCCGTGGTGGCCCGTGTGGCGTTCGTGAGGGACTGTTTGGGCGCCCCGGCAGCCTCCCCGCCTGCGTGACCAGGGCCGGTTTGGCAGCGGTTTGGGCTGTGTGTGGGCTGGTCGCGGTAGGGGATATAGTGCTTGTTTATGGTCCCACTCACCACTCCCGGCCAACGGGGCCTCGCGGGGCGTCCTCGTTTGCAGTAAAGGCCTCTGCCATCGCTCAGAGTCCCAAACCATGTGATCCTCCGCGCCGCCGCGCCCGAGTAGTCTGCCAGATGCGACGTCGTCGGGGAGGGCGTCGTCGCGGGCGCCAACGTCGTCATGCGAGCCCCTACGGCTGTCCAAGGGCACGTCTGGGTGACCAGGGGCGGGGGTCGAGCCGTGAGTGCTCCGCCGGGGCGAGCTTCTGGGTCCATGGGACCGCTGCCGGACCCATCCGAGAGCCTCTCCGGACACGTTCGCTCGACGGCCTAGTTGGCGGCCGATGTTCGACGACTAAAGCTCCGGACGCCGCGGCCAAAGGTCCGCCCACGGCCCCAGGGCTCGTGGTGGGTGTGGGGTGTGCCTCACGAGGCGGAGAAGCCGCGTGAACTCCCGTAGAAGCTCGCGAAGTGCGGATTTGGAGCGCCGCGCCGGACCTCCGCCGGGGCCCGCCGGGGCGCCGTATGGGCCTCGGGGTGCCCGATAAGCTTAGAGGTGCGGTTTTTTTTGCTTGTGTCTATCGGTTCATGTCATGGACCGGCCCTGGGAAGCCTTTGACCGCGCGCGGAGGGTGTTACGGGGCCGTGATGATTTAGCGGGAGGGAAATCGGGGCCGATTTGCCCAGTGTGCAAGTGCTCCAAGTGCTCCCAGGGGCACTAAGATGCATTACTAGAACACCGAGAAGCTCGACGACCAAGTGGATGCACGGCATGACGCCCAGTGAACGGCGGGGTTGAGTTTTCACACGCGGCTCCCCTCCCCCATCTCGCGCGTGAGCGCTGAGCCTCGCACACTCACCGGCTCTTCTTCGCCTCGCGCCACCGCGCGCGGCAGCGCGAGCACGCGCCGCGCTACTCCGTCTCGCGCGTGATCGCGAAGCGCAGCACGCACGCGACAAAGTCGAGCGCCGCGATGCCGTTCGTGTTTCCTGCCGAATCGAGATGGTGCTGCTCGTGGATCTCGTAGAGCGAGAGGACGAGGAGCGCCGCCCGCGCGCGGGCCGCCGCGGGGAAGAGCGAATGGCTTGCCGGCGACCACGGCGCCGCCGCCCGCCGGATCAGCGCCGCCGCCTCGCCCTCGCCGCCCGCGGCGCGCTGCAGCGGCGTCGGCTCGCCCTCGTGCAAGCTTGCGCCGCTGCGCAGCAGGGAGAGAGCGCGGGCGGCGGTGAGGGTCTCAAGGTGCGCGAGCGGCGTCCAGCCGCGGCTGGCGACCAGCCAGGCGGCGAGGTCGGCGTGGCCGCGGTTGTTTGCCATTTCCTCGGGCGTGCCGCGGGGCGTAGCGGCGCGGGAGGCGCCGTAGGAGGAGAGGAGCTTGGCGACCTCGAGGCGGCCGTTGTGGCACGCGGCGAGCAGCGGCGTGACGCCGTTGTTGCGGGCTTGGTTGACGGAAGCGCCGGTCTCGAGGAGCAGCCGAACGATGTCGAGGTGGCCCTTCTGGCACGCGATGTACAGCGGCGTGGCGCCGGTGTCCTTGGCCTGGTCGACCGCCGCGCTGGCCTCGAGGAGCAGCTGGGCGCACTCGAGCTGGCCGTTCTGGCACGCCATGATCAGTGGCGTGACGCCGTTGCCGCTGGCTTGGTCGACCACTGCGCCAGCCTCGAGAAGCAGCCGGGCGATCTCGACGTGGCCCTTCTGGCACGCCATGTACAGGGGCGTGGCGCCGTCGTTGCGGGCTTGGTTGACCGCCGCGCTGGCCTCGAGGAGCAGCCGGACGATTTCGACGTGGCCCTTTAGGCACGCGATGAACAGCGGCGTGGCGCCGCCGTCCGTGGCCTGGTTGACTGCCGCACCAGCCCCGAGGAGCAGCCGGGCGCACTCGACGCGGCCTTGGTGGCACGCAGCGAAGAGCGGCGTGAAGCCGCCGTCCATGGCCTGGCCGACTGCTGCGCCAGCGTCGCGCAGCAGCCTCGCGATCTCGACGTGGCCCTGCTGGCACGCAGCGAAGAGCGGCGTGGCGCCGTTCTCCTTGGCTTGGTCGACCGCCGCGCCAGCGTCGCGCAGCAGCCGGGCGATGTCGACGTGGCCGTTCTCACACGCGATGGACAGCGGCGTGGTACCATCCTCTGTGGCTTGGTTGACCACCGCGCCCGCCTCGAGAAGCAGCCGGGCGACCTCGACGTGGCCCTCCTGGCACGCCATGTACAGCGGCGTGAAGCCGTCCGCATCGGCTTGGTTGACCGCCGCGCCGGCCTCGAGGAGCAGCCGGGCGCACTCGAGGCATTCCTTCTCGCACGCAAGGAGGAGAGCGGAGGCGCCTTCGCCGTCAGCCGCCCCAACGCTCGCGCCGGCCTCGAGCAGCAGCCGCACCGCCTCGGCTCGCCCGTGCCGAGCGGCCCAGGTAAGAAGCGTGTCTTGCGTGTCGGTCTCGAGCCGCGCGTTGAGCGTGCCGCGCGTCCGCCGCCCGGAGAGGAAGGCTCGCAGCGCGGCCAGGTCGCCCACCGCCAGGTCGGGCAGCAGAGTCGTCACTGCGCCAGAAAGAAGAAAAACAGGGTGGCCGGCGCGAGCGCAGCGTTCCTGGAAGCCGCGAGTGAGCAGCGCAAAGAGGGAAAAGCTCGACCGCTGTTTGCTGTGAGAGACTCGTCAAGATGCCAGAAAGCGCGAAGAGAGGGAGGCGCGAGAGGCTCAACACTAGGCTGCCGACTCCCATTCGCCGTCGCACTCCGTGGGAGACATGCGGTGCCCGCGGGCGAAGGCGACGTACTGCGTGCAGCCGACCTCATCGGGCGTTACCCACCACCCACGCCAAAACGGCCCGTCTCGCGGTCGTCCCAGTAGTACAGGAACAGGTAGAAGGGCGTCTCAGCCTGGCCTCCCTCCGCCATGATCAGCGCGTCAAGGCTGCGGGGCGATATGACCAGAATCGCCGAACATTGCGCGCGCTGCTGGTTGAGCGTCTCGCTCAGCCGATCGAACAGCGCCGGATCCCGCGTCCTCGCGTCCGCTCGTGCGATACACTGCGAGAGCTGCCTCGATGTCGCCCAGCTCGGTCAAAGGGCTCGCTCGAGCGACCACGTCAGACACGCAAAAGCTGTCGAATCCATTCCACCCTTGGGTTGGTTTCTTACGACGGCGTTCGGGCTGCCGACCTCTTTGGCGAAGTGGTAGATGATTCTCTTGGTTGGCCGCGCGATGCCGCCCTGCGCCCTGGCTTTCGAGACAAATGTTGACGATTCCGTTCTTGACAATGGAGCGCGTCGTAGTTCGAGTACTGTCCCTTGTGCTCACACACACAGTGTGCACCAAAGATGAAACCCTGCACAAAGATCGCATGGCGGTGGACTTTTCGCTTTTGCTCCTTTCACCCATCTCCTAGAGGTGTCCGTTGTATTTATTCATCTCTCACACGCTCTTCACTCTCTCTCCCCCCCCCCCCCCCCCCTCTCTCTCTCTCTCTCTCTCTCTCTCTCTCTCTCACTCTCTCTCTCTCTCTCTCTCTCTCTCTCGCTCGGCTCGCTCCTCGGTCTCATTGAGGCTCCCAGCCAAGTAGAAACGAGTAGGCAGAGGGAAGCTTCGTCAGCAGTGACGCTGAAATCTCGCATCGTGACATTGCACCTTCCCAACAGCAAGTGACGTTGCCGTTCGGCGTCGAGAGCCTGTGATGCAACCCGTGTGCTGGCATCCGTCGTGACGCAGTGACTGATCCGGGAGTGAAATCTGACACACCGTCGCGACAGATTGGTCGTGAGACTATGCAGCGGCGGCGATCGGCCGCCACGGCTGCGTGGTGGCGTGGCGACGAGCCGTCGCTGCGAGCGGCGTCTCCGGGAGGCCTCTGGACGGCCTCGGCCCGGGTCTGCGAGGCCGTGGGTGTCAGAGGCGGGCGTGAGGGTCTCTCTGGCGCCTGCGGGTGGTCGGCCGCGCCGCTGTGCTTTTTTTAAGAGCGCGACCACAAGACGGGTGGCGACGTCGACCACGTCGACGCGGTGCCGCTGGCGATTTAATATTTAAGATCATACTTGATCAGGATCATTTCTGTAGTATGTTCTTCCACTCAGCGACTGTAGCTGAGCTGTTTCTCACAATCGAGAGGACGACCTATACCATCCGGAGGGTTAGGGACACTGCGTTGGAGCCGCTTGCGGCTCCCTCGCTGGAAGAACCTGCGGTTCTTTTCTTGAGGCGCCCCGCCGGATTCGAGTCGGATCGATTCTTATTTCTCCCTAAACGTATTGGTGGCGAGGCGGAGAAACTTAGACTTGCACAGTGAAACTACCAACGAAGACAGCACACCCGCGTTGTGTGAAAGAGAGAGACTTCTTCTCGCGACTTCTTCTTGCGACTTGTGAGAGAGAGAGACTTCTTCTCGCGACTTCTTCTTGCGACTTCTTCTTGCGTTGTGCGACGGCGACTATGAACCTCAAAGGGGGGCGCGCGCGGGGGCGGCGGGTGGGCGGGATGTTTGTGGGCCCGAGAGCAGCGATGTGCCATTTGTTTGTGTCTTCATCGAACTAGCGCAAAAGAAAAAAACCCGGCGACGACGGCGCTCTGGATGGGGCGTGACCTCCTGCCTCCAACCTCCTTCCTTTTTGAGCAGGTGTGACGCCGCGCGAGCGACGCTCCGAGATCGCCCGAGATAGCGCGGCGCGGCGGTGGGTGAGGTGGGGCGGGGTGGAGAGGCGTGGCGTGGAGCTCCGAGATCGCCCGAGATCGCGCGAGATCGCCCGAGATCGCGCGGCGCGGCCCGAGGCGAGGTGGATGGGTTGGGAGCGAGGGGGCGGAAGTGATCAGTGCGGTAGATCGGTCAGTCGGGGCGCGTGAGCCGGACTTGTGAGCCGGACGGCTTTCATTTCTCTCTGCGTTGTTGAGCCAGGACTCAACATACTCGTTCTGTTGCCGTCCCAAACTGTCACTCCCCTTTCTCCCGGCCGGGGCGGGGCGCGCGCGGGGGCGGCGGGTGTGCGGCGAGTGTGCGGGATGTCTGTGGGCCCGAGAGCGATATGCCATGTCCGCCTTGCGTTGTTTCATAACATCGAAGGCTAAGCTCAAAGAAAAACTTGCCGCCCACCCACACAGGTTGAGTGCTCGCAGCAGTCGGCGTGACAATGCTGCGAGTCTCGCTGCCGCACGGCGCGCAGGCCGGAGATCGCATCGTCGTCGAGACCGCGTCTGGCGCGTGCTCGAGCGTCGTCCTTGCGCAGGGCGCGCCGCGAGGCGCCACCCTTACCCTCGCGCTCCCGCAGAACGCCGCCGACAACGACAGCGCCGAGCGGGTCCTGCTGCGGACGGGGCAGCCGCCGGGTGCGGTCGCGCTCGACGCGGAGAGCGTCGCTGTCTGCGCGTCTCTCGTCGACGGCACGCTCTCCACCGGCGCGCCGGAAGAAGACGGAGAGGGGGCCCGCGCCGCCGCCGCCGCCCCCTTTTCCTCGCCGCTCGAGCCCGCAGCAGCCTCCGCCCTCCTGTCTGGGGTGACGAACGACGAGGACGCAATGAAGCAATTCCTTGCCCACGTCGACGACGCCGACAAGCGGTCGCAAGTCGCCGACGTCGCCGCCGCCACAGCCACCGCCTCCGCCGTCTCTGCCTCCGCCGCCGCTGCCACTGCCTCCGCCGCCGCCTCTGCCGCCGCCGCCGCCGCCGCTCCCTCGCCGCTCGAGGCTGCCGCTGAAGAGGGGTCGCCCGGCGTTGGCGGCGCCGCCTCGCCACCCGCTCAAGCCATGCTCCTCGACCTGCCCACGGAGCTACTCGCGCGCTGCGTCGCGCTGGTCGACAGCCTCGCCGACATCGCCCGCATCCGGGCCGTCGCTCACCACTTCTGCGACCTGCTCCCTCCGCTTGGCGAAGGCGGCGCAGCGCAACCTTCGGTTGCCGCGCAGGCCTTGGTGGTGCGCGCGGATCTGCACGGCTATGACTTTGAGGCGAGGGTCGACGATCGCGCTGAGCGCGCTGAGGCGCGTTCCGTGCCTCTCCTCCGTCATCATCCAAGCCTTATCCGCCTCCTCTCCTGACTACAGGCAATGCTTATCGCCGCAACCTCTGCGCCCTACGACGAGGCGGCGCTCGTGGCCGCCCTTCGGGCCTTTAAGCGCTTCTTTCTCTATCGATTGTATCGCGCGCATAGAGGCCGACGGAGATGTGTGTGCGAGGCGATCAACCGCGGGCTCGTCGCCACCGCATCGCGCGGACTCACTGAGCCGGTTGAGCTTGTCAATAGGCGCTATCGCACGCTAGGGCGGCGCTACGCGAGAGGGGCATGGAATATGATGCAGAGGAGGGAGATGACGTTCTCCTCGCCACGGACAGGCTGGTGCTTCTTT